CCTTCCAGGGACTTATATATATGACTGGATATAATATATGATTGAAATAAATAAAAGGTATATGAATAAGAAAAATTATAAAATTTAATTTTTATAAAAAAAAAATAGCTAATTTTTATAATGTTTAAGATTTTGAATAAGAACATGAAATTCAATGTAAAAATAGCTAATATCTATTTTCGATGTTTGAGGTTCTCTTATTCCATGCACCCCCTTCCCGTCTTAACTATAACACAAAGTTTTAAGACTCTATTTCATCCCAAATATAATGTAGAGTTGTATAATTTCTCCAGTTTTTAATATAATATAAAATTTAAAAGCTTTTTTTTGTCTTTAATATAAGAATAAAGTTTAAAAATTATTTTTTTCCAATTTTACCCCTTGTTTTTATTTATTTTTGTTTGAATTATAAGAAAACAATTTATTACGATCATTAATTGTAAATGTAAGGGATGATAAAATTAAAAAGTTGCATATATATTTTTTTTGATGATTTTAAAAATATAACTAGGACTTGGTTTCTCTCAACTCGTTTCCCCTCCACTACATATTTAAACCTTTTAGATTAAATTTTAACAATACAAATCAGTCTTTAATTTTAAAAACTATCAAATCTAAATTATAACTATCAATTTTTTTATATAATTTACAACCAATATTTTCAAAACCGGACCGGATATTGATCCGAAAAAGTCAGCAGTTCATAGTTCGCATGGTTTAATTGGATTGGACCAATGGTCCAACCGGTGACGTAATAATTAAATTAAAAAAATTATATATGTATATAATAATTTAAATATAATAAATACATATGAAATTACTATTTAACTTAAAAAAATTAAATATTTTAAGTTTATTATGACTTAACAAGCCACATGATATAATACAATATCAAATAATTAAAAAAATTAGTCATTTTTTAAAAAAATTTGATAAAAAATAAAAAAATTTTTTTGAACAGTCTGATTTTTGAAAACCAGATTCGGTTTTCGACTTGATTCCGGTTCCCGATTCGACCGTCGGTTCGAAACGTCTCAATCTGACTCAACTCCTAAAACAATTTTTTCTTATGAATCAGACCGGAAACCAATCCGATCCAATCCAATTTTCAAAACACTATTTACAACGTTTCTTCTACAGTAGTGGAGGAAAGCCAACTCTATATAACTACCATTTTCAAATAAGTGTGAAGTTGGTCGTCTTCATCTTATATTAAGGACTAAAGTAGTATTAATTAATTTTTTCCAATATTGTACTTCCTTCATCGTGCCACATTGTAATCCCTTTACATATTTTATTGTGATCATTAATTTTATTGAAGGGCAAAATTGGAATGTTACATTAATTATCATTCCTTAACAACCGTAATGGTATTAACTTTACCCTATATAATTGGGAATCCATGGAATATGTGATTGTATGATTGGCACGGGAAAAAAAGAAAAAGAAAACAATATACTATGTGGGATTGGCTGATAATTGAAGGGAAAATTGTTAAGATATATGGCAAATAAAAAATTATTAAAAATTAGATATAGTTAAGTGAGATGACACAAAGACATAGGACCACAAAACTGAGTGAAAGGAAGGGAAAATAAAGAAAGAGAGAGGTGGCAAATTTATTCTGTAATGGATGTAAAGCCAAAAGCAAGTGAACAAAAAGAAGGATATGGACTATATTATTTAATTAAACTTGGCAATATTTGGTTGATTCACACTCACACATAATTATAGAACGGTCCAAAGGCACTGTTTCACAGATATAGGCTTGGAAACTTTTTTTTTTGTTTTTTTAAATGTATTTGAAGCCAACTCTCATACGGTTGTTGTGTAATTTATCAGTGCTTTTAAACCATTATTAGAGCCTTGAAGCATGTTTTTATCTTAGTGACTTTTCAATGCTAATAATTTTATATAAATTTCTTATTATAAAAAAGAATAATGAAACTTTTATTCCTTTAAATTTATTTCAATTATCAATCTAATTTCTTAAATTTAATTTTTATATTTTTTTGAAGAAAAAATTAATTATTTGGTCTTTGTAAAATTAACTCTGTTACAATTTAATTCTTAAATTTTAACTCACTATAATTCAATTTTTATAATTTTGACTTAATTGTGACTTAATCTTTCTAATTTTAGCCATTTAAAATAATGGTTCTTATATCTTACAAAAAAATTTAAAAATTTAAAACTATGTTTAGGAACTAACTTTTAATTTGATAGAGATTACAAAGATTAAGATTTTAAAAATAATGGTAATCTTTCTAATTTTATTTCTAAAATACAGTGATTAATATTTTAAATTGTTAAAAATACAAGGATTGAATTACACTGAGTCAAAGTTTATGAATTGAGTTATAATAAAATTAAAATTTTAAGAATTAAGTTACAATAAATTAAAGTTCAAGAGTTGGATCATAGTTGAGTTAAAATTATAGGAATTAAATTATTAATTTTTTCATTCTTATGTTATTTTGTTAGGTCCTAAAGTTTTAAAACACAAATTTCCTCTCTAATTAATCTAATAACTTGGCATATATACATATATGTAATTAAATGAAAACAAATTAATACTTATACCAGTTTAATTTTTATTAATACACCCTCTCTCTCTCTCTCTCACACACACCCCCCCTCACAGCCTTTAAAGTTATTATTATTCATACATTTTTAAACACCCAGATCTGTCATTCCAAAATAATAATAATATACACGCAGTCTTGATTTAATCTGGGTCACGTATCTATATATCTGCATCCTAGTTCCGATTTGGAAAAATAAATATTTTGGCATTATACATGGAGAATAAAAAAACAATAGTTTAAATTGTAGTAAAATGCAATACTATTTAAAGTAATTATTATTTTCATCGTTAAAGGGTGATAAGGTCAGTACAATAATTAATATTTTATCAAGGTTTGCTTTTTTTTAATCATAAATATAAGACTTCAATTTCTTTTACCTTCCATGTTTTTAAAAATTTTAAATTGTCCGTATAATTAGATTTTTGTATGATAACAACACTCAAATATAAATAGTTTTTTTCTTTTGTGTTTTTTTTTTTGGGTCAGCTCAAATATAAATGATTAAAACAAGGGGTATCTCACAAAAACTACTAGTCCTATTTAATATTTATAGCTATAATTATAAATTATAGATGGGCAACTATTTTAAGATTTTTTAAAAAGTTAGGTGAAATCTTAATGTTTTTTAAAAAATTCATATCTTTTTAATTATAATCTTATTACATATTTTATATAAATATTTTAATAATGATAATTGAAATTTCAATACATCATTTTTTTAAAAAAATAATAAATAAAATAAGGATATAAATAAAAATTAATTATAAAACTAACTAAAATTTTATATTTTAGATGAGTAAAGTTTTTATAAGATGCTTTCTATTATAGTGACTAGGATGAAGTAAATAATCTAAAACTAGGATGAAGTAAACAACATGATTTAATTCATGTGAATAGGTGCTAAATTTATAAAATAATAATAAATAGCAGCAAGTGAAGCATGCCACTTGATCCAAGAACTAGCATAGGGCTAGGAAAAGACTGTCAACTAATTTGAAAGATAATGCCTTGCATAATTGGTCTCTTCTTGGGAATTTGTGCATGAATCAATCATTTGGTTCAATTAACATGGTATCTTCAATTAATTGACCTCACCATGCTATTTCTAATTGCAATCTAATCACTAACAATTTATTTATATCAATATACTCCATCTCAATTTATAAAATATTTTTTATAGGACTGTACATACTAACAAAATATGTTAAATACAATTCATCATACAATCTTCATTTTCCTTAAACTTACAAAAAAAAACCTTCATTTTATAAGAGAGAGGGAAGGAAATCTATTTAAGAAACAAAATAATGGGGATAATATTATATAAATAAAATCTTATTTTTTTTAAATATCTTATATTTTAAAATACTAAATCATCTATAAACAATGGCGGAGTCACGTGCTGTTGAGGGGAGGCATGTGTCCCCCTTACTTGGAAAAAATAGCGTATTTGGGATATATGTTTTTATATTTTACAATTTGTTTCTTTTTTTTAATACTTTGCACCCCTATATTTTAATATTTTAAACTTTGAACCCATTTCAATATTAGATTTAACCCAAATATAAAATTTAACTTTTTAACTTAGCCTAGTGAATATTAACCCATAATTTCACTGTAACTAAATGCCAATATTATTTATTAATCCTTCAAAAAATAAAAAAAAATCACTTTGACTAAATTAAACCCACATCATTCTCGTCCTAAGAATACCAGTTAGGAAAAAAGGCAACAAAAAATTAAAATTTAAAAATTAAGAGTAAACTTGTTGAATGTATTTTGCTAACTCACTGCATCTACAATTAAAAGTTAAATTAAGAAATAAAGACAAAGAAAAAAAAATTTAATGAATTTTGAAAAGATAAAAATGTTTTTCATGTACTAAGGTCCTAGTTTTGTCCCTTTTAACCCAAGATCTTGGCTCTGTTACTGTTTATAAATGTCTTATAAAATGAGACAGAGGAGTATTAATTATTAAAGTAAAATTAAATAATTATTTAGAAAACAAAAACTTGTTTGCTTATTTATCGTTTTCCACAAGTATTTTTTTTATTGAAGACAATTTTGTTTAAGGTACTATCAAGCATTACACACGAGCACCTCTTTCAGTGAAAATTTAAACTTTAATTTTTTAAATTATAAGGGCTAACTCTTTTCATTAGATATAACCTCGTCAGCAGCACTGATTTATGAAGTTACTACTCATTCCACGATACTTGAAATCTAATGCGAAGGATTGAACCATGGGCTTGAACCCGGCCTGATCCAAAGGCTCGATATTGTAGAAAAGGCCTCGATATTGATAACCATAACAGTTTGCAAGGAGGATAGATTGGGCCCATGAAGCAGGAGGGTCCAATACTAAACGACGACGAAGGATTGTCGTCTCGAAGGCGTTTACAATTGGGGAGGAAAGACAGAGACCCAGAGCAGAACTACAACTGCATTCCCTGACCTGCTTCAGTTCGTCTCCTCTTTTGCCTCTGATTTGTTGTTGACTGAATATTTTTGAGGGAACAATGGCTTCTTCCTCGTCATCAACAGCTTCAGATTCATCTGCTATGGTGACGGAGCGACGAGGTATACCTGGGGCTCAGTTCGTGGAGGATGTTCAGACTTATCTCACACAGTCAGGTCTCGATGTCCACTCCGCCCTTGCCTTCCTTCAAGAAAGGTATTCCTTTTGTTTTATTTCACTCTCTTCTTTCTATCTAAGTCTCATGCCCTATTACTAGTCAACGGAACCTTTGATTTTGATACCTTTGCGGATTAGTAGATTATGCTCTGGTTGCCCGTGATAGAGTATTGGGTATGGCTTCACGTATGCTTATGAGATTTCTAACTGTACTTAGAGACTTCACGGGCTAAATCTTTTGGCGGAGTAGGGTTGGAAGATCTGCTTGCTCTTGTGTGATTTTTGCTGTATGATCCCTGGAATGAGTTTTAGACATTTACTCTCTTATTGACTCCGTGTTGTCAGACTTCTTCAATGTAATTATTTGGGATAGGAGGATCATGATGTATAGATTGGATTTTAGCAACTGTACGAGGAGATAGTAGTGGAGCAAGAGTGCAATTAACTTAATCAGTATGTTTTAATGTGGGGGAATGACTTTTCAATCTGGACCATAGGATGAAACTGATAGCTGAGATGAATGCTGGACAAAAAACTTGATAAGGATTGGGGTTTAGGGGCATAGGGAGGTCTGTTATGCATTTCATTTATTTTTACTCTACAATAATTATCCATTATTTTATACTAATAATTTTTTTTTTTTTGTAGAGCACGGATTTTTTCACTCGCATCCCTCATTCAGTTTTCCTTTTCATATTTTATATATTGCATACTAGACAGCCATTTATATGAGAAATACAGATATTGATGCAAATTTGTAATTGATGGTGGTGGGAAGAGGCATGCAGATTCTCATCCAAATGTTGGGATATCTTTAATTGCATAAGAGGGAATGAGTATTAGTACAGGTGGTCTGTAACTGTAAAATACGTTGACGCAGAGGCAATGGTCTAGAATTGAAGAACAATATTGAATATTTAAGATACGTCATAGGGAAATTTCAAATAGTAGAAGTCAAATATTATTTGATGATTTTCTTTATGAATGATGACCTAGCACTTAATTTTGCAGACTACAGCAATATAAAGTAGTTGAAATGAAGCTTCTTGCTCAGCAAAGGGACCTTCAGGTATTCATGCCCATTAAAACAATTTTATATATTTATAATGTTGCCATGGCATGAACTGTCATATTCTACTACCTATGAAGATTCATATCTTATCCTTTTCAAACTAGATTTTGCAGTCTGTGTACTGTTTAGACTGTTATATTAAGTAGGAATATATGCCAATTTGACTTTTTAATGTCAACTAGAGGTTAAGGCTTCTGCTCATTGGGTATGAATACCTCAGGTGAACTGTGAGCAATATAACTTGATTCACAGAAAACTACAAGTGTTGTTTTTGTTACCTTTTTCTTATATGTTCAAGAAAAGATTTCATTGTTGCTGATATATTTTTTTGGTTGTTCTCAGGCAAAGATACCAGATATTGAAAAGTGCTTAGAAGTTGTTGCTACATTGAAAGCTAAGAAGGGTACTGGTGAGGTTCGTTTTCAGTTTGTTTTCACCTGTAAAGTATTACGGTTTAGATTAAAGAAACTTGGATTTCATGTTTGAGGAAAATGAGATAGATGTGATTCGTCAGATTATACAGCTATTAGAAAGGCCACCTTTTTCTGTTGATGCATGTAGAGTTGCCCTGGATCTGGATGTATATGTGATGACCTCTTACTGCTATGAAATCTATACCTGTTGTGTATTCCTTTTTTCGCTGCTTCTTTATCAGTTAAAATCACATTATATATTTTTCATGTATTCTAGTTTAGATTGAAGAAACTTGGACTTAAAGGAAAATGAGAAGTAGATGTTAATGAGATTAGACAGCTTAAGTACCTTTTTTCTGTTGATGCACATATTGTTTGCCTTGTTCCCTAGAAGTATGTAATGACTGCTCCAACATTTATACCTTCTGGGTGAATAACTGATTTCTCAGCTTCTTTTTATGTAAAAATCATATTAGATAAGGGGTAGAGAGTGAGAACAAGCAAGCAATAATGCCATGATTTCTTGTTTAGAGTTTGTTATTATCCTTCTTTGCTGTTGACGTTATAGTTTATTGCATTCAACTGATCTCTTTCCCATCTTCATGGTTAGACATAGTTCTAATTTTTTGGCATCCGTCAATAGACAGCCCACGATAAAGGATTCTTAATCTCAATCAGATGACTAGGTTTATGTTTTTGGACATGTATCTTTAACCTTATTGTGTTATGGTTCTTCTTGGTTCCCCCTCTCAGCAGCTGTAGACATACTTAAGCAATGAGATTCTTGTATTGAGCTCGCTATTTGCTTGAAGCATATCCATGGTAAAGGATAATATGCCCGTTGGGGTTTTACCTTTGGATTTGGCTCATTGTGGTAATTACAGAGAAGAATAAAAGCCTACTGCTCTTATCTTATAGATGACACAAGGCTTTTTAATTTACTCTTGTTCTTGGCGTATGTTTCAATCAAAATGGAGTTATTAGCATATGTACCCAATATGAGTGTCTGAAGGGCCTTTCAGTATAATCAATATTGTTGCATACGTAAATCCTGTCCTGAAAGAAAGTAAGGAGGCCAAGGAGGGGCAACGATATATATAAGACTAAATGAAATAACAAGCAGAGAACAAATGCACAAAATGAACCATAGAAAGGTACCCGAAATACCTGGTCTCCATCGGTCGGTGCTCTTGCTGCCTGTACACAGTAAACAAGAGAGGTCAGAGTAGTAAAGGGTAAAACTTAAGATGCATTTTAATTCCTCAGGAGTCCAGTCCATACAAAGTCATCAAAAGGACATGGTAAGTGATTTGAATGCTATGTACAGCATGTTAGCTTTTGTTTAGGGGAAAAACTGAACGTGTTTGTTTATTTTTCTGGAACCTAATTCCAAACAGTAATGCCGTGATAGAATGCAATGTTATATACCCTGTGCTTGTTCACCAGAAATTTGATATTGATAGGGTATAATAGTCAAAAACTCAATTGCATCTTATGTCACGACTGTCATTCTTTCTCTCTATCTGGTTTCACATCTGTGTTAGGTAACCTTCATGTAACTATTGTTTGCCTTTTTATCATCTTGTAGATAGTTACCTGCTCATGTAATGAACTTGGTGCTGTATTCCTGACAGTGTGCATAACTGCAGGAACTTATTGCTGATTTTGAAGTCTGTGAAGGCATATATTCACGTGCTCGCATTGAGGAAACTGACTCTGTGTGTTTATGGCTTGGAGCAAATGTGATGTTGGAATATTCATTAGACGAGGTCTTTGACTGTTAATTTTATACGTTATTATTTTATCTCTCTCATGTCTATTTGAATACATTTTTCTGGACTTAAAATTACTGTTAGTTTTTGGTGCAGGCTACTAGGCTTCTACAAAAGAACTTGGAAAATGCTAAAGCCAGTTTAGAAGTTCTTATTACCGATCTGCAATTCCTAAGGGATCAGGTGACAGTGACTCAGGTTGGATTTCTAATTGTGAAGTCCTCTATATCTTTTTTTAGAGCAGTCACCTCAGGAAAAATATATGTTGCGGGCGCTGGACTTATATTGGGTGGCCAGGACCCAAGCCATTCGGTGCCATTACTGTCCTTAGGGTGGCTTAGTAAGAGAGGGAAAACATAAACTAGTAAGAATTGTGAGAGAGAGGTTTAATTTCACTGGTTATTCTTGGTAGTGGAACTGAAAATTTATATTAATGAAAACCATGTAAGCGTGGACGTTGATACCGCATTTTCATTTATTTTCAATCCCCAAATTTGAGACGAAATTTTTTTACTAATGGTAGCCTCACAAATTCTTTTTTTTTTTTAAATAATTGAAGGCCATGGAAAAATCCGTACAAGAAACAACAAAATTAAGTTATATCAGAAATTAAGAAATTTCTACATCCTAAGATGGATCGTGCAAAATCTTCAAATCAAGAATATCATGGGATGCCTGATTGGCAAACCATTTGGCACATTTATTAACTTCTCTATAAACATGGTCTCTAATTCTGTATTACGATATTTCTTATCTTCAATAGCCCCACAAATTCTGTCCATTTCTTTTTATTCTCTCTCGAAGGCAGAATACTATGATATCTACTTATCATTCACAATGTTTTATATGCATGTACAACTCCTTAAGCTCCTTTTGCTGTCCATTTCTGGCTGACTATATTTATCAACAAAACTTCACATAGTTTTCATGATACAATATAGTTCATCTAAATTTGATCAGGTAACAATTGCTCGAGTGTATAATTGGGATGTGCATCAAAGGAGAATTCGACAAGCCACTGCCACAACTGCTTAAGATTCTTGAAAGAGAGAGTTTACTTGTGTATGGATCCAATGCTTACCCTTTTGAGTTGAGTTATCTTTCTAGCTGGTCATCATCTTCCATAGGTGATTGGGTCTTCCTGGCTTTTGTTCCTGATTCTGGTTTCACTCTGGTTCATTGTGCTGAAGTTAGGAACCAGTTTTGAAGTATTTAGGTTTAAATTAAGGGCTCTGTAACACTTGTGTAATACCACATTTAGGTATATGAACATATTTATTGTTTGGTTTGATCATGGTAGATTTTCTATCCGCAATTTGATCTGCTTGTTTAAAATCTGGAGTGGATGCTAGTGTTAACTATCTGAGTAATCTGTTTTTCAACTACAACTTCTTGACGAGTGGAGGAATCAACAGGTTATAACTGGTTAAGGGACCCACTGAAGCTTCTATTTTTAGTTTTTTACACATCACATTAACGATCGTTTTTTTTAATTTAATTTTATAATTAGCTGGTAGTTTGTACTGTTGGTCCAAATTCTAGTATTGTGGCAAAAAATGTAGTCTTTCTTTATAAGATACACTAATTATAATTTTGTTTTTTCAATTTCCTTCTTTTTTCATTTTCTTTTCAAATTCTCAATTTTTTTAGAACATTTTTGGGAGAATTACAAATAACTCATAAATAAGGAAATTAATTATCTCTGTAGTCCCACACTCCCATTTACATTTCACCCTCTAGCATTTACATGCCATCCATCTGCATGTTGAAACTTATTTGATGCTTGTTTGTAATTCTCTCATGTTCTCCCAATTCATCACCTATTTCATGTATCACATGATATAAAAATTTCGTTACTTTCAATTTGTAGGAACCCCTAAATTTCTGCTTAGTGGCTTTGGGACTTGTAAATTGTATTTCTTTTTTATTTTATTAAATATTTTAACATATGCTTGTCCTTTTATCATTAGAAAAAAAAAAAATTAGAGAACAGTGGTGGTGCACGCCTAAAAAGCGTCCAGGCAAACATGTCTTTTAATATACAATGACGTTGTAATATGGAAACTGCCAACGTCATTATGTGCTCACTCCCTAAATTATTTTATATTATAATTTCTAAAATTATTCTTTTAAAACAAAAAAAATTGAGATGTTATTAATATGTTTTTTTCTTCCCAAGACAACTGATTCAATAGTCCCTCAAAATTAGTTTAGGTAATAAGAGCATGAGATCCAGTGTTCAAATCCTATATTGACACCTAAGTATATGAGTTGTGGAATCAATTGATCGCTTAAAAGAAGGGTAATAAGAGCACATTTAATAGTCAAAACTTCATATCCTGATTCATAAGTTTTAAAGCATGGAGAATGATAATTAAGTCTTAGATGATTGAATTTATAATAATTAGGTCTGATTTTTTTTTGAAAAATGAAATAAAAACAAATTTAAGTAATTGTAGAATTTAGGAGTTTTAATTGTAGATAAGGCATTTAAGTTTCAAATATAACTCTCAAAATATAACTTTAATTTTTATTATATTTATTTGAATCAATATTTATAATTCATTTGTCTAAAAACAATTTTACCAAACACTTTGTTGTAATTAATTTAGTATTTTAAAACTTAGCTATTATTCTTTCTTGGGAGAAGTGGGAAGTTGATTAGTTGGATCATTTAACATACAACGAGGTCAAATGGATTGGGGCCAAAATTAGGCCTTTTGAAAATAGTTTGTTTTTGTTAGCATCCTAAACTCGTCTTAAGCAATAAATGTTAATTTAATTTATAAAAATTTAATTCATAATTCATAGTATCCTTAGATCAAATTTTATTATTAATACAAACACTTTATTAATGAGCGATTTGTATATACATGTGTACCTGAATTTTTTAAGTTTGGATGCATACCTGACATTAGCGAGGCTTAAGAATCCAATCCGCTTAAACTTTATAGTTTCGAAAAAACCCAAAGTGTAATCATTAGTCTCGATGAATGAAAACAATGTGAGAATAATTTTGCCTGGAAAGCAGCAAAATATCATCCCACCCCTAACCAAACACAAGTTGGTGGCGGTTTCATTGTTTGAGGATTCAAGAGTCCGTTTCTAAGGCCGAGAAGTGGAATTGTGTTTGCGTGGGAATGGAATGTGAAAAGTCTAGAGGCGCCCACAGAACAAGAACACGCCGGTAAATGAAAAGCATCGACCCACAGTCTTATTTTATATTCCCAAATCCCAACTCTGCCCATTTGCTTTGGATTCGCATCCTCTATTCGCATATGCTTCCTTTGAATCACTGTTATGGTCATTCCCAATAATTTCTTTCTACACTCATTTCATGCCTTTCTAATTAATTTTTCCCTTTTTTTATTACATGCATATAATTTTTTGTTAGAGATAATTTTATTTGAGCATTTGAGATTAGAGCATTAATCAGTTACATTATGAAAAACTAAACAACTCTCTTGTTAATAATGAATTATCTTTGATGTTTTTGTAAAGTTTAAATGACAATGAATTAATTTTAACTCATATAAACCTTCATGAATAAGCCTAACTAACTGAATATTATACTGCAAAATTAATGGTTAAAATTATAATTAAAGATATAATAAATAAAACATGGGAATAACTCTAATTCTTGGATGACTGAAGGCAAAACGGCGTCGTTTATGTGAGAACGTGTCGATGTGACCTTTCCACCTAGAGGACCCGTTGTTTCATCGTTTTCCTTTTTGCGGTCAGCCAAGCAAAAGCACACAGACTCACTCCCTCGAAGACCGATACAGAGGTTACAAATTGGGCTTCACCAAACCAGCCGAGTTAGGTGAGTCTTTCATCCGAGAAAGGGTGGTGAGTGAGCGAGTGATTGGCTCTGCATCGCCGAGCCATTAGGTATTCCTCATAAGCTTCAGTATTCTAATCCCATCATCTGTAATCTTTACACGTTTTAGCATTTTCTCAAAGGGTAAAGTCATTGTCTCTAGCCCTCAGTATCTCTTTCGATTTCCATTTCCCTTCTTCTCCCATCTGGAATTCCTTCAACTCGTACCCTTATCTGGTTTGTTTGTTGTACTTATTTACTTCCCTATCGCATCACGTGCCTCTGATTATTTTTGTTTACTTAGAATCGATCTGGGGTTTCTGGGTTGTTTTTTTGTTGTGCTGATTCCGTATTTGGGTTTTTGTGTAGGAAGCGGATTGATTGACGAAGAATGGCGAACATTGACATCGAGGGGATTTTGAAGGAGCTGCCCAACGATGGGCGTGTTCCGAAGACTAAGATTGTCTGCACGTTGGGTCCGGCTTCTCGATCTGTAGAAATGATCGAGAAGCTGCTCAGGGCTGGGATGAACGTCGCACGTTTCAATTTTTCTCATGGCACGCACGATTATCATCAGGAGACCTTGAACAATCTCAGGACCGCGATGGCTAACACTGGAATATTATGTGCTGTCATGCTTGACACGAAGGTTATTCCTCTTAACTTCATATTTTGGTGCTCTTCAATGTTTGTGTTTGCAAATTGTTAACTACTTTTCCTTCCCTCAAGCCGTGAAGTTTGAAAGCTTGAACTCAAATACCGCCTGCATATGTGGCTCTACTTCCTTGAATAAGGTCTAGGACGTGTGTATTAGTTCCTATTAATTTCTTGCAGTAGTTTTCTTTTTGATGTGTAAGACTTTTTTTTTCCCCCTTCGTTTAGAATTTTCTATATATACTCGATTTGGTTGTAACATTCCCTAAATCTCTCGTGTCAATTACTTATTTGGTGGACCTACTTTTTCTTCTCTGTTTTTGTTTCCTACGTTTACTATAAGAGTCATCCTAGAACTACTTAATTGTTTTCTTATAGATGTCAGATAATGAGCTTCCACTGCAAAAGTGACAGCTCCCAGCTTGTGTTGTGTTTGCTTTCTGGTGAGAAAAAGTCCTCATTCATTATAATAGACAAATTGTCATGCCATAAATGTGATTTTGGCGAAGTCCAATTATTTGGTATTATATTTTTCCGCGTGTAACGCTTGTAGGATAATTTTTTTTTCCTTTTTTGCTTTGTAATTATCTTGTTTGCGGAAGATATCTCGTTCTCTCCATTCTGCTATCCCCATTCTCTTTTATTAACCATTCTGCATATGTCTTTTGACTGTATTCCTGTAGGGACCTGAGATAAGGACTGGTTTTCTCAAGGGTGGGAAACCTATTCAGCTTCAGGAAGGGCAGGAAATCACCATAACTACTGATTATGACATCAAGGGGGATCAGGAAATGATATCAATGAGTTATAAGAAACTGCCCGTTCACTTGAAGCCTGGAAATGTCATATTGTGCGCTGATGGAACAATCAGCCTCAGTGTCTTATCTTGTAACCCTGATGCGGGTACTGTTAGATGTCGCTGTGAAAACACGTCAATGCTTGGTGAGAGGAAAAATGTTAATCTTCCTGGTGTTGTGGTAGAACTTCCCACTCTCACAGAGAAGGATAAAGAGGATATTCTTGGATGGGGTGTCCCTAATAAGATTGACATGATTGCTCTTTCATTTGTTCGCAAAGGCTCAGATCTTGTTACTGTTCGTAAGGTCCTGGGGCCACATGCAAAGCATATCATGTTGATGTCAAAGGTATTACTATTATGTTGCATTCATTGTCTATCTTCCCAAAAAACAAACTTTAGTCCTTTTTGTGTTGGGGGCGACTTTTTTATTTACTTGTATGTGATTTCTCTGGAAAGCACTGTTTAATTTCCTCAACTTTTATGCTTTGCTCATTGTTAGAATCGACATTGTTTGTTATGTCATGTGGAAGTGGAATTCTTATTGGTTAAGTGGCTTCAAAAACTCAGACTAGTGTTTGGAGCCCCCACGTTCTTATCACTTTCCCACCACCTTAATATTCATCAAAAGGAAAGGGAAGGTAACTGTCTTTGACTAGTTTGTTGACTTCTAGACATCTTTCAGATGAATCATACTGGATTTTTGTTTAAAAAAAAAATATTGAGACATGTGGCAGGGCCTCTAGCATTACATTACTCTTCCCTATGCTTCCCTTGTTTGAGTTATTAAGAATTTAGATATTCATTTTCACTCACCAGCTTTTGTGCTGTTTAATTTGGAAGTCCTGACTTTTTTGTTCATTTTTCCATATGATCTCGTGATACTCCAAGGTTGAGAATCAGGAGGGGGTTATAAATTTTGATGAAATTTTGCGTGAGACTGATGCATTCATGGTGGCACGTGGTGATCTTGGAATGGAGATCCCAGTTGAAAAGATTTTTCTGGCACAGAAAATGATGATATACAAGTGTAATCTCGCAGGCAAACCTGTGGTCACTGCTACCCAGATGCTTGAATCTATGATTAAGTCTCCCCGGCCAACACGAGCTGAAGCAACTGATGTAGCTAATGCTGTTCTTGATGGAACAGACTGTGTCATGCTCAGTGGTGAAAGTGCAGCTGGGGCTTACCCTGAAATTGCCGTGAAAATCATGGCACGAATTTGCATTGAAGCAGAATCTTCTCTTGACTATGGTGCAATTTTCAAAGAGATGATAAGGGCTACCCCTCTGCCTATGAGTCCTTTGGAAAGCCTTGCTTCATCTGCTGTCCGCACCGCTAACAAGGCCAAAGCAAAACTCATTGTTGTGCTGACTCGAGGTGGGACTACAGCCAAGTTAGTCGCCAAGTACAGGCCGGCCGTGCCAATCATGTCAGTCGTAGTGCCAGTTTTGACAACAGACTCATTTGATTGGACTTGCAGCGATGAAACACCAGCAAGGCATAGCTTAATATACAGAGGCTTGATTCCTTTGTTGGCCGAGGGATCTGCAAAAGCTACGGATGCAGAATCCACTGAGGTGATTCTGGAAGCTGCTTTGAAATCTGCAATAGAAAGGGGCCTTTGCAAGCCTGGTGACGCAGTTGTTGCTTTACATCGCATTGGCGCTGCCTCTGTTATAAAGATTTGCATTGTGAAGTGATGCATATGCTATGAAGAAGGCTTTGCCTTGCCTTGGAGGCGCTGATGCCTAAATTACATTTTTGGCTTTTTGTTCTTTTAAGCTCTGCCTGGAAAATGGAGAATTAATTTTTCAGCTTTAGACTGAATTGTTTCTGGTGTTCTCTGTGTAGTGGGATGAATACCTTTCTATTTGAGCCTGGTATTGAAAATAAAAAACCTGCACTCTTTATAATTCGTTCATTTTTCTGGAAATTGGATTAGAGGGAAAATTAGGGAGTCGATTGGATTTCGTTGTTTGGTTTGCTTGAAGCCACATGATACATTGGGGATGTCAAGTTGAAATGTCTAGTTTGCCCCTGATTTAAAATGGTTTTATCAGGTTATTCTCTGAGATTACGCATTGGCAGGCTCAAGATTTTCAACAAAATGAAAATTTGGAAATAAGCATGGATGAAAAGAAGAGAGACATTTGGAATTTGACATCTATAAGAAAGGAAAAGAGTACTCTATTCCTACAAATGATATTCAGAGAATTAAAAAAATTAGAAGATTGAAACGTGCATAGAACACAAATGTAAGGAATGGTTGAGGGAATTTGATTGGGGTATTGTGGAAATTTTGCATGTTTGCATGGCGCGGAGGGAATGAGAGTACGAGACTCCTTTACACTGAACATAATCTTGAATCTTGATGCATGCTTAGCTTATTTTCATTGCATTGTAGTTACTTACATGACCTGATTTAAATTAAAAGGATCTAAACAATGTAAGCCCTTAAATTGTTTAGTAGAAGCAGTTTATTAACGCCTGAATGTCCCCAAAATGGATCCCTGCCTGGCTGTGCTTAGGTGCTTTGGAACATCAATGATTAATACACGCACAAATTTGTAGCAGATTATATTAGTTATTATTTACAAGTTATAAATAGCACAATCAATTCTTTAGATTTCATAAAATGCATCGAAAAGTATAATTATTTGAATAAAATCTGTTGCAAGTTATTCTATTTATAGACTATGAGCAATATAATTCATGCTTCTTCATGCATGGTAGAGTAATTCTAGTAATCCCTGTTCCAATTTATAAAGTATTTTTTTAATAAATACGCATACTAATGAAGTTACAATCTTAATTTCTTCAATAAATTTCCAAAAAAAATCCCCCTCATTAATATGAGACTGAAAGAGAAGATTGAAGGAATGGAAGTGTGGGGTAATGTTGGAATAATAATAATTAAAGAAACTTTTTTTTTTCCCAAAAGGTCTTATATTTTGGTTTTGGGACATTAAATCACCTTTAAAAATGTCTTATAAAATGAGATGGGGGAATATATGAGAATATTACAGAAATCCCCATCTGGAACTTACAATAATTGAAATAGGAAATGACATAATATTCATTTCAGTGAAAAAGGAAAAAATCTAGAATCTTTATATAGTTGTTATCAGCATCAAGTTATACGAAATAATAGAGAAGTATAAAGTGAACTCCCACATACATTATACCAGTATGTTTTTGTCAAGAAATATATTCGTAATGTTGAGCATCTCTTACAAGTGATATTATAATTTAAAATATTTTATTTCATAACACAGAAAATTGCTTAATATTTAACTATAGAATATGCTTGTCCATTAACGAAATAGAATGAAAAAATGGGGGAAAATTATGGATGAGAGATATCAAAGTTTATTATTTTAATATACAAGATTTCTGTTAGAACTTGACGTGAGATCAATTGGTTTAATCTAAGTTTATGTTCCATTTTTTATTTTTATTTAATGTCGTGTTTCACGTTAAATTTAAAAGAAATTTCAAATAATTTGTAACAATAAATTTAAAATAAGAATAGCTTTCAAAACAATTTCAAATAATTTGACCTTGACCTGAATTAAATGGAGAAGATCTGTCCTCAATTAATTAGGTGGATCCAAAATCATCAACCTCATATATCATAAAAGGACACATTATTGGACTAAAGGCCTAAAAAGAAAAGCGAAAGAGACATTACAGAGATAAAATTGATTAACACCTATTGAGATTGAGTTTTCCACACGTTTTCTTCAAATTTAAGTGATTTTATCTGGGTTTGAAATTTGATTGTGAACAAGATTGAAATCTAATAAAAATATACCTATAAGTAATCAAAAAACACAATAAAAATTCAATTGTATTATTTTTAAAAGTTAAAAAGAATATTATATAAAAAATGAATTTAAAATTTCAGACATTATCCCTAATTTTGGGGTCATTTTTTTAATCCTAAATTAATTGTGCATAGATTTTATTTTATCAGAATTTATTGATTGCTTAGATTAAATTTAAAAAAAAAAAGAATTGAAGGGTAAGAATATTTCAAAATTTTTTCTTAGGGAGTTTGTCCGGAAACTTTTAAAAGAAGAAAACTTTTTTTGGGTAAAATTTAAAAAAAAAACAATTTTGCCTTGTTGTCCTTAGTGTCACCGTTTATTATAGTGAATTTGACGTTGGCTGTCACTTAGAGGTTTTTTTTTTTTTTTATTAAAAAAAAAAAGTGAAGGTGTGGGACTTCGAATACCTTTGTTCAGGAGCTGGCTTCTGGGAAATCTAATTTCGAGAAATACCCATTTTCCCATAATCTTTGTATTCTCCCGCCGCCGTCCAATTCTCCGCCGCCGCGTTACAGAGTCTCCTCCTTGTTTATGAGTAACGGCCCATCATCGGGTCGAAGCGTGACATTGTGTACTCGCTTGTTGACATAATCAAGAGCCTCAATTCGCCGTCTAGACCGATCACGGACGCTCTCGAGGCCTTGCTCGGAATCTCGTTTTACCCGCGTAATCGGAGCACGATGATCCATCGTGGTTTAGTTTTCTCTGGTTGTATAGGACGGAAGAGTCGGGATCGTGGAGGATTCGACGGCGGTGAGGAGATTGGCAGGCGATTGATCTCCGAGGGCAGCATAACCCAAGTTCCATCTCTGAGCGAAACTTGAAATCCTAAAACGTTATTGGATCTCAACACAGTAATGATTTGTGGGTCTGTGTGCTCTGCAAACCCCACGGCGTTTCCGCCGTTGTTGGAGCCTGCGATCTCTGGGCATGGAGGATAATGATTCTACCTGAAAATCAACGCACTTCTGAAAACACCCAAACGATAATCAGAATGAACGAGAATCGATTAAGGTTGAAAGTGATTGTGAGGTTGAGTTTTGTTGACTGGAATTTTTCTGGGTTTGTGTCATGTTACAGAGGCTTCGAGCTCTGTAACCATCCCCATCTCCTGCAACTGCAAATCGGCGTGGAGGAGGAAGAAAGGTGCACGAGGGCTTTGGGTCAAACTTCATGGTGGACGACACGCGTCGTTTTTTTTTTCCAAAAAGAAAAAAAAACTTGAAACAGACGAGTTTTTTTTTTTTTTTAATGTAATGCATGTGTCTGCCGACGTACATTGTCAGAGTCAAATTCATGGTGAACAAACAGTCAGCACTCACAGCAAGACAAAATTATTATTATTATTTTAAATTTTGAGGTAAAATAGTTCCTAAAAAAATTGAGGATGCTTGATGCCCATCTTAACGTTTATGTTTGGATACTTACGTTAATTATTTTTAGAAACTAAAACTATAATTTTATAAAAATATATCTAAATACTTTTATGCATGCTAAAATTAATTATAAATATAAAGTTATATTTATTTCTCATATTATTATTGCCTTCTTTTCAAAATCTTATAAGTTAATGGGTTAAATGTTAAATTTACTCTTAAACTATAAGTTTAAAAGTGTTTAGAATTTTAAATTTATTTTTTTTTGTAATATTTCTATTTAATATTTTAAAATTGTACAATATTATCATACTATTATCAAATATTAACTTTGACTATTAATTGATTAAAAAATTATAAAAAATAAATAAAATTAAAAAATAAAAAATATCTTATAACAAAATCAATAACTTTTCTATAATTTTCTTTGTTATTTTCAATAATTTTTTAAATTATTTTTTATAAATTTTTATCAACTAATGATTGAAATTAAATTTGTTAATAGTAGGAATAATATTGAATCATTTTAAAATATTAAAAAAACATTATATTAAAAATAAATTTATAATTCAAAATGTTTTTGAACTTACAGTCTAACGAAAAATTTGCCTTTTAACTCTAAATTACATCCAAACTCAAATTTTTAACTCAAATCCAAAACTGCTCTAATCATCAATAAATTCAAAAAAGTTGTACGCGACTCTTAATTAATGAACCAAATCGATTTTGTTTTATAAATGCATGGCTTAAAATATGCAGATTTCATTTATATTATTATTTAACTTTGACATAGATTCTTCCAATATTATTTTTATTTTTATTTTTTTGCTTTAAAAACGGCCCAACATAAAATATTCGAATTCTTTAAATTAAATTTAAACATAAATTTTACTGAAGTTGATAATATGCTAATATATAGAAGTAACGCCAATATATTATAATCTTAAAATAAAAATTAACTTAATTTGGATATAGAATTTGGGAATTGCATTGTCCCTAAACGATTGTAGGTTCTTTATAGATTCCTCAATAATGTGGTGAAACAATATATTTCAAATGGGAGGATCTTTATCTTTATTTGTTTAATTATTGTTAATCACGTATACTCCTTCTTGTTTTTATTAGAGGAATATTTTTCATAATCCTTGATATGAGACCCTTTTATTAGAACATTGATTTTTCCTCAAATATTCTTTGCCTTAATATTCCTAAATCAACTCAACAACATCATCATCTAACTAATAAATTTTATTAAAATTAATCTTTTAGTGCTCCAACTTTTAAGTCATCCGTAACTCAATCCCTCAATTATGACTCGTTGTGACTCATTCCTCAACTATAACTTGCCTATTACTCAGTCGCTTAACTTTTGAATCACTTATAAATTAGTTCCTTAACCTTTGTTAATTTTTTTTATGTTAGCTTATATCTCACATTAATGAATAAGAAGATGATATTTTAAAATAATATATGAGTATTTTATTATCCCTCTTATTTGATAAAAAAATTTTTAAAAAAATAAAAAATAAAGATCGAGTTATAGGTAAATCAAAAGTCGAGAGATTGAGTTGCAGCGAGTTATAGTTGAAGAATTGAGTCGCAGTGAGTCATAGTTGAGGGACTGAATTACAAGTGAGTTAAAAGTTAAAATACTAAAAGATTAATTTTTCCTAAATTTTATTAAAAGTAATTTTAAATTTTTAAAAATA